AAATAAAAATTAAAAATAAAGCGCAAGAATAAAATCGACATAACGCAGAATCAATTTTCGAGCTATCGTAATCATCTCCCGAAATCCAGCTCCACTGAGAAAGAGGCAAAACGTGCGATTACTTACACTACAGTGAATTCCTCTCAACACTCGTGGCCCGTGAATAACGATGCGTCAATCGTCATCGCGATTCCTCCGAGATTTGCTGAGTCTCCCTTGTTAGTTTGATCTCGCTTCCCTCCCTTCTGTCCGGCGCTGTCCTCGCCGACAGACAACCACGTGCACGCCACACCGTCCCAGCGAACGTGGATCGTGGGATACCCGGTTCGGGTGAAGCGCACCGGAGCACTGCGTACGACGCCCAGAGCGCAGACGCACCCTTGTGCGTGCGTTCCCCACCGTGCCCCATTCATCCCCGTGCATTCACGGCGAGAAACGACGCCAGACGACCTACCCGTGAGGAGAGAGAGAGAGATTCCTCCCGGCACAAACCCCCTTAATCAATACTCGACATCCTCCGCGCCGACCGCGAATACCCTTGCGTTCCTCTCTGGACCGCGCGCGAGAGTTTCGGAGCTCTGAATAGAACAGGATACATATTCGCCGGAATAAGTGGAAAAAAAAAAAGAACGACCGGCGTCGGTGCGAAGGGTTGCGGTTTGTATGCGCCACGTCGAGAGAAGAGCAAATAAATGGTCTCACCGTGGTCCTTTATGTAACGGACAACCCGTCGTCGTGCGCGAGAAAGCACCGACGGCTCTATTTTTAAATGGGTCGATTCAATGAAATTATGCAGGAGGAACCAACCGCGTGAAATGAAATTTCTCCTCTTTAAAATACGATAAAAATGCTGCATTATTACGTTGCATAAAGGTTGAGAAGGAAATCTATACGTACGATTTTATAGAAGAGAGACAATCTGTCTGAAATATTAAAGGAAATATGTATTTTCACTTCGTATTGGAAAACGGTTTCTCTTTCCCAATTAGAAGGAAATCACTGGAAGGGATTTCGCCTCCGCGCCTCGAATCGGACCCTTTTCTGACGGAAGAAAAATGTTCGTGCAGAAAGCGTCGATTTCCCGAGCGGCGGGTAACGGCGGCCTCGATTAAATGCCAGTGCATTACGTGACAAGTAGAATCAACCGGCTGTATCGACTCCCCGAGGAGCACGGCACGAGTGGCCGCATTTATGTCGTTAGGAACGTTAATTAGCGAAAAGAGTCTTACACCGCGCGTTGTGGAACAATGAAATAGTAAAATCTCAGCAATCTAATTGTGAGATTATACATACTGAGAAAAATTTTTAGTTGAAAACGAACGAATTAGAATCTTTTGATTAAATCTATCATAATTTTAGTTGAAATAAAAATGTCCAATTACGATGACCGATTGATGTGATCAGAATTAAATCTTATTGGCTCGTTCATTTTCAACCAGACATTTTTCATGCACGCTCAGAGAATATTTGCCTGATACTTTCTTTCCAAAAAAATAATCTTTCTCGTCGTAAAAAGAAGCTGCGTCTATAAAGGAGAAACTATTGATGCAATCAGATTGATAGCAACTGGATACCGAATTTCATACGCAAATAGGGCAATTTGATTGCAAAATTCTCTCACGATTGGTCGGAACGTAATCTTAAATCGATAGTCATCGACTGCTGATTGTATGCTAGCTCTATTACTGACGATCCGTTTATTGGTTCCTTTTCCTGCCAATATTAGACGCAGCTCATAAAACGTGCTCACAATGCCGCGCCTACACATATTCTTTTATGAGCTATACGTAGAGACACAATCTAAAATGTCATGCGAGTGAAAGATCTGATATATGTCTCCTTAATATATGTGCCAATAGTAATAAATTTCTAATGATTGTAAATATTTTACAATATTTACATTGAATATTTCTACTCAAGACATTGAAACATAACAATATGTTATTTGTTATTTCACGTTATACTCAACTTGTTATCTAACACTGTGATATTTTAATTTATAATATTTAGATATATTGTTAAGTGCAAAATTATATTGATATTATGTTATAGCATTTTAGTTTGACTAGATAGTTTTCAAAAATATTAGTAAAATTAAAGTTAAATAATTACGTAATTACTGAAAGAATCAATATTTAGTGTGTGTAATATTAAAATTTGTATATTTTTCTAACGTAAGAAGTACCTCGAATTGAACAGGTTAGACTAGGCTAGACGAGAAGTTTAGCGCACAGGACTTCCTTCTTTGAAAATGCGATTCATCCATCAAACATGATGTGTAACATTGAATTTCTCCACTATCGCGCGACAGCATCTCTTCCTTCCGTAGACATAGCGTAATCATTCGGAGACAGCAATAAGTATAATTATATTTCACCTTTTTCTTTCCCGTGACGTGAAAGAAGAGTTTTCAGTTTTCAATTGTCTTCTGAGAGATTGTCACGGCGCAGTAGTCGCTCCGCTCGCGGAACCGGAAGTAGATCTGTCAGTCACAATGCCTGTTGCCTACGCGTATTTTTGCTCGCGAATACATGCCTTTGTGAAGGTAAAAGTACATACGTATATGAAACATTGCGCACACTATTCATTGTAATATATGTCAGACTGAGGAAGAAGCGACGAATGTGCACTCATAGTGATAACCGAAATGAGATTGAGATATAAAAAAAATACTCTTTAGCGTACAAGCAGGCTGTGCAATAAAAAAAAAAAATAAAGAACCTATCGCGGAGCGAATGTGAGATACGCTTGGTACGGAATTACCGCATTATGCAGCAAGACGCGCCTTCTTCCGCTAACGAAACGTTTTCTCTGTAATCATAAATAATAACACGCATATGTATATCCTGAAACTGCACGGACTCTGGATATGAAATAGCGGTATGATAAAATGCGTGCATACGGAAATCCATAATGTCATAGCATTTCAACAATCAAACAACGGTATAATTGGAACATAGCCCACAAAAAAAGGAATTAAACCGATGATCGAGATATCTTTCTTGTGCTGAAAAATATGACGTAGTAACGAATTTTCAAATATTAGAAAAAATTTGAAAATATATTTCTAAATAAATATACTTCTAAATTTTGCATCGCCGAGGTAAAAACTATAACCTCTCGAAATTCATTATTGAAATACACGTTATAATTTAAGATATCGAATATTATTACATGTTATTTAATTTGTGGTCGATATTCTACTGTCATACTTTAGTTTCTAAAAAACGCTGGAATTCATGGAAAAGAAGTGAAATTCAAGTTGAAAAATTTAGCTAAGATGAACTGGTGCCAGGAACTGCCGGGTGGCGTGTCTGAAGACTCGGTCCTAAGCTCTGCCATGCACAGATTATTACAGCTTTTATCGATTGTGCCATGCTTCTATTGTTGATATCTTGTCCCCAGAAACTCAATAAACTGAATTATTTTAATTTATACACAAAAGTCCATCCTTGTACAAGTATCGAACTGTTTCTACGACGACACGAGTATAATCAAGTTTGCGTGACGTTTAAAATCAAGTTGTCGCAGAACTGAAAATCAGGAAATCAGAGCATTGTCAGAAAAATTGAAAACGATCAGGGAAATCAAGAAAAAGTCAAGGGATTTTGCAAAATTATAAAACATAAATTCTAGGAATTCTCAAAATCACATTTCTTCTAATTTTTGAAAAATTCTTCTTACTTTAAAGAATACAGCCTTCTATTCATTATTATTATATTTTCCTGATACTTTGTCAGTTTTCGGAGTTTTAGATCGTAACTTGGTGTCCAAGATCTATATTTCCAAATTTTCATCATAATTCTTAGAAATACAATAAGATCCTGGAATTCTGTACAAGTAATGCAATTTCTTTGTTTCTTACATTTTTCTGTTATATTGATTTTCATGAATTCAATAATATTATTAAAAAGGTAATTATAATTGTGTATACGACCGTCCAAATTTTGTTACTTAAATTTTTGTAAGATAATCTATCTTTGATCACATTTTATTGATGATGTAATTAAAAATAGGAAGATCTCCGAAAGGATAAAGTTAAAATATTGATCTTATATAAAATGAATTTAGTAGATAAATTAGAAGCGCGATATTACTGATTATCGATAATAATGTTTTTACATCAACAAAGTAGCTAACTTGGTTGTTGATATGAACGATGTTGCTAGCTGCCTTATCCTATATATTGTGCTAACTTATATTGGCTGAGAGAGAGAACATGAAGGTTTTTTACCTGTAACCTGAAATCGCTGAAATAACTAAAATCTATCAAATTACTGAAGATTTTAACGATTTCAGTGATTTGTTTTCATCAGGAGCGCTATAAAAATGTGAATATTGCTGTGTAGTTGATATTTACTTCTTCAGAGAGCGGTAGTATGCAAGGCATTTTACGGTTACAGAACTTACGAGTGTAAAAGGCCTTCATGTCCTCTTTTAAGTTTCTCTTTGATTTAGTAAATTTGTTTTTTATTTAGTGATTTAATAATTTATTTCAGATTACGTTCGCATTTCTTAGATAAACGTTAACATAGATATCCTCTGATTAATTTATATTGTGAATTTAATAATACTTAACATTTCATTTATATTTTCCATTTTTACATAATGGACATATCTTCGCGCGCGCGCGCGAAAACATAAAATATATATATTATCAGAAGATGGAAATGCGTACATCGTTAATGGATCGAACATGTCATTTATACTTTTCCCAGTAAATAACAGTAATTTTTATAATTACTGCTGCGACAAAAATTGTAGTTTATATATAGTTTGTATTATTTCGAAAGCATATAATATAAACTTGCATTATAGATAATTATTTTAATGGTATGCTTATCCACGCAGCGTTTACTCAGCGAGGACAGGCTAGCTGCTTTGCCGACTCGAACGTGCTCAATCTTTTGGAATCTCTAGTCTCACGCGCGATTCTTTAGTTTAGATGAAAATTGACCACATTCTGTTCTCTATACGTATAGGTTAGGTTCTTTCAAAAGCCCGTTATATCTGCTTAACGTTATTTAATAATATAAAAATATTTAAATACCCCTCTGATCTGTGTGTGCTCTTGTGAGAAATTTAAATAAAGACTTGACAATGGCTGAAATATTATGCGAACGGTATATTTTTATTTCAATACAAAAATATATTTATTCCTGTAATAAGTATACAATATAGGAATAAATATATTTAGATGTAGGTATGTGTTTAAAATTCGATTATTATTGATTTTATAATATAGAGACAGTTCTAAAAGAACGACCTACATTGATTGGGACGAATATTTCATGGCCATTGCGTTTCTTTCTGCTAAACGGAGCAAAGATCCTTGCACCCAGGTCGGTGCATGTATCGTTAATAGTGACAAGAGAATCGTCGGTATCGGGTATAATGGGATGCCCACGGGATGCAGTGATGACGAGTTTCCTTGGAAAAGGGGTCCCCACACTAGTTTAGATGCAAAGTATCTTTATGGTACAATACATATAATAAATATTTTTTTTTACAAAATATGTATAAAACATTGAATTTCCAGACACAACACAAAATCTAAAATCGGAATATACGACATTTTTAGATGGTTATCGCACAAATATCTTTAAAATGTTTTTAAGACGTCTTATATGTCAATTTTAAATTCTGTGTTGTTTGGAATTATTTTGTTATTAAAAGCGCTAATTATTCTAATTAATCTGTTGACGTTGGGTTGCAGTGTGTCATGCGGAAGTTAATGCGGTTTTAAATAAAAATTCGAGCAACGTTAAAGACTGCACAATATACGTTGGTTTATTTCCGTGCAACCAGTGCGCGAAAGTAATAATACAGTCCGGCATAAAAATCGTAATTTACATGTCCGACAAATATGCTCATAAAGTCGAGACAATAGCCGCGAAAAGAATGTTTGATGCTGCGGGTGTAATGTATAGGTGCTTATTCTTTGAAATTGCTGCAATTTATTACTGCGATAGCAGATTTTATATTTTTTAAAATTTCGTTTTAGGCAGTACATCCCAAAGAACAAAAAAATAGAAATTAATTTCAGCGATATTAACTGGACTGAGATGAATCAATTACCGGAAACTCCGACAAAACAAGAAGATTAAAAAATGAGAACCAATCGTTGTTGATTACTATTATCTTGTATCTTATATGAATAAATTTAATTTGATAATGAATGTGTATCTTATTTATTATTTTTCTAAAGAATAAATATCTTAAAAAATTAAGTATAAAAATGTGGATTTACCCTAAAATAATAAGTTAGTAAAAATAAAATTGAGAGGTATTTTTCGTTTTTCTATTATTATGTGGTAGCAATAAAAAAATTATTGTTTCTTTTCATGTGTTTCTATTCATTTATTTATTTTTTCACTTGACATTTCATAGAATGAATCCTTTTCAAATAATATTAACCATCAGATAACACGTGAAAATACAACTTATGATTGTATTGCTGGATATTGATTTTGGTTTTTTGTTTTTTGGAAGTTCAGAGACACTAATATTTACATATAAAAGTATTAATTAAGAGTAGGTACAAATGCAGGCAAAGCAAACCTGCTTCTTTCCTCAATCTTCATGTGACAATCCCATTTTTTTCTAATATTGATTAACCAAGTGATGTGAAAAAAATAAATAAAACAATGTACAGAAAGCAAAACAATTGCAGTAAGACTATGATAGATTTAAGTATGACACAACTCTCTGTTTATGCGTGTTATCAGCTGTACAAATGTAAACAGTGACACAATGTTCTTATAGCATAATAGAAATATGTAACAATGTTTATTTTCTCTTCGAATTAAGCGGAGTAAAGATAGACCAGTTTTACATGATATAATGTTTCCATGATGATTGTAATATAATAATAAAAGGAAACGATTAAACAATAAAGACGTTTGATACATATATGTATATGCGCGTGTGTTAATACGTTTTATGTACATACTATACATATTCGAATTCGTTCAATTAAAATGCTATTTCACTTATTTCCTCAGTTATGAATATAATATGAGGAACGTTAGAGACAATGAGCATGATTATACATTGTAGAATTTGAATTCATCACATAGAAGTTTTTTTATATGTGTAGAGGAAATTGAGATATAACACAGAACACTATGCACCGTGAAATGATATAAATTAATAAATAATATTTCGAATGTCACTTATTGAAACAGAATATTGTCATTACAATTCACATGAATACTCTTTCACTCTCGCTACATGTTTGGTACACACCAGAGTGAACAAGTGAATTGTTACAACTATTCATTAATCATTATAATTATATATCGCCTTTATAAAGCAAAATATTGATAAAAATCTGAACATTTTTATATATTAATTATGATTATTGTGAATTAATATAAAATATCGAAGATTCTATTTGATTATACGTTATAGTAATGTTCATCAAATCATATTTTTGTACATAAAATGATTCAATTACAAAAGATTAATTCTGTGTGATGAATTCCAATTATATTCAGAAATGGAAGAAGATATGGTTTGGAGAAAAACCCAAGCTAGTTTGTCGTGCAATATCGTGTTGGGGATTGAAAGGCGAATCTAGATTTAGCTCTCGACAAATTTGAATGCAACTCGCAATTAGCATTATTTATTTTCTATCTTTTTGATGTCTGTCTATATATGTGCGTGATAAAAATTTTTACATCGAGGTAATAACCTCCGGTAAAGATTGGAGCAATTAATATGTGAACTTTCTCATGAACACATGAAAATTACGTACAGAGTTCATTCATACTTTTCTAGAGAAGATATTCAAATGAAAAGTAAAAAAATTCAACAATATTAGATTATTCAGTAGATGCACGGTCATGAAGTTGAATTGCTTTTAATAAATTAAATAGAAATATACACAATAATGTAAATAGCTTGTAATGTTTTCAAAGTCAACCTAAATATTTGTCGGTTCCTTTTCTATTAGCTCTAGAGTAATTTCATCGCAATCAACAAAGGCGATTATATTAAATTTCTTTTGATTTCAATTCTATAATTTTAAGAAAGCATTTGCATGCATTTACAGAAGGAATAATAAAAAATAATTTAAGAGGACAACCGATCTTACTTTGTTAAATTATTCCATCGACTCACCATTCATTTTGTAATAATATATTTTACGCGGATGATTGAGGAGGTAAATATATATTATAACTAATACAATCAAAACCGTAGATATCTATTATATGTTTATGATTACTGTTATGACGTGTTTGAATAAGTGATAAACATTCAGACAATATCGGCGGCGAATTCACTTGTCGCTCATTCGAAAAAAAAATCGTAAGACATTATACACTTATTGATATAGTACCTGAAATATGTACAAATATTATTTAATAAACTCGGTAGTATCTACGTCATTTCTCGTATCGAAAAATTGTTTTTTTTTTACGGAAAAACTGAAAACTTATCAATATGCAGCATTATTTTCAGAACTCAAACGAGGTAATTATAACATCCTTCAACTTGTACCGGTAGGCTTTTAAAACCTTGTATTTATTAAAATTTTCGCAATCCGTCGATGTACATACGTACGATGATATTCGCTATTAACACACTAACGGCCTTTCGATTTATGATATACTTTGGTAGTTTGCGTATACAAAACGCAGTTTATCGTTCCTATAGTAACTTTCACAGAGACTTTCGCAAACGGACACTACTTCCTTATTGACTTCTCGATGGAATATCAGGGCTCCAATCCAAACGTAGATCATTACCCTTGGCAAAAACGCAGAAATAAAATGTGTCTAGAAAGAAAAGTATTAGAATCATTTTGTTCATTGAAATCAACAGTTCACGGGTGAGGCGAACCAGAAGTTAATACACGATGTGGGAACGGAGTCCATCCAAAATACGACGACGGACATGCACGGTACAGTACTTGGTGCTTCGATGATCATCTAGCGTTTTGCGGCCTCTACATAGTAGAGTATCATGTAGGCATCGCTGGAAATTGTACACCTTAAGTCGAGTAGAAATATTCGCTTTAGAGCGCGCGTATGTATGTATACAAGTCTTGTCTTTTTGTACCAATGTGTTAGTCTCTCGCACGTGTTATTTTACACACTGCACGTCCCGTACTACAAAACAGTCCGCACTTTCGTCGATTATTCCCCCTCCCATCCCCAATCCTCATCCCACCTCTCCTGTTTAGCGTCGCCGCTCACGATAAGCAGAACGCGTGTCAAATTAATCGATCTCGATTGTTAACTAATATTTAGCTAAGTCGTCCTCTCTCTTTTTTCTCATTATTTTCCTTCCTGTAAAATTCCTGGATCGCGTTCCAGAAGCTGTAGGCGGTCCGCACCTCGTTGCATTATAATTTATTAGGATTGTTTTTATCCAGCATTGTCCCATCACTGTTCGCACTACGTGAAATATTCTCGAAGAACAGTTCGTATATAACACATGCTTTATTCGATTAATTATCTTGCCAATTTCGTTTCGTTTCTTTACCACGGCACCTAAGACGTAATTTTTAACGTCCTCTAGATCAGAAGGACGCTTTCGTACCCCGGCTCTCCATTGACTTGTCTAATTACGATAATAGATTCAGTGACGCTGCAATAGCGCGTGCCTGGATCAGTTTTTGATTGAATTCTCTTTCTCTTGATGATTGTTAGCTTTCGGCTCGGGCGGCCGAAACGCGGTAGCGAATGGGAACTGCAGGTGGCATTTTGTCATATAATCGGCTATCGTGTCGTCACAGTGTCCGAAATCACCGTTGCGCAATGCATCAAGTACCTTCGTGCAGTTCTGTAACGTCACGCCTTCGAGTTCCTCCATGCCTGTCACAAGAGATAGCGCTTTCGTCTGCGCGGACGGGTCCAGGACGTACAACATCCTTGCGCCTTGCAGCAGATGCGGCAGCGAATTTCTGTTCTTTTTCAAGTACTCGGAGTTTAGTTGGGCTGCTTTCGTACTGGAGAAGATTCCGGCGGTCTGACGCTTCACTACTTCGCCTACCGCTCCTTCCAACGGCGATTTACTGGTGTGTAACAGAAAACGTACCAAACACGTATGCAGGTCTGGATTATTCATGTCTAACCTATGAGCGCGTTTTATCGAGCGTAACATAAGAAGAGTGCGACCTGTAAGAGAAACAGATATTTATTATCTCGTGCCAATTTATTGTTAGTTAATTCCACAAAATAATTTTCATTAATTGTAACTTGATTTATATTTACGGGCTATATACTTTATTAGTACCTTTTCGAATATATATCTCAAAAGCCATGAGATGCGTCTCTATCCGATTTGACGCTAATTCCTGCAAGGGCTGTAAAAACTTTATCGCTTGTTCTAGTGGATCTTCAACCTGAAAAATATATTTAATTACTGTTAAAAAAAATTATACAAGATAATTAAAAAGTCGAGACCTTAGAATATCTCGAAAAATATAACTTTTATAAAAAAAACAATTACAGGATTTAAAAAATCTTTACTGATCTTATCAATTTTACTTTGGATGGCATCACCAAGATCAGAGGAAGAATTTTTTTAATTTTGTGGCTGGTGTACTCTTTAATGTCTTTTAATTTAGCATGAAAAATATCTCAACGCCAGCACTTTAAATAAAAAAAGAAAATTCATTTTAGACAACATTCTTCTATTATCTCACTGTTTAAACTAACCCTTTCCAGTTTTTCCGGAATTAATTCGTCTAGTGTGGGTTGCTCAAGATCAGAGTCATTCTGCTGCCGAGATTTATTATGTTGTTCTCTTTTCTCTTGAGCTTGCGCGGCTTGCTGTCGTTCGAGTTCGGCCTTTCTGCGCTGTTTCCTCTGTTTATTTCTTAGTTTCTTCAATTCGGATGGTGCCAAGTTTTCTGTAACATACAGCAAAAATAAGAATCTTTAATGCATATAAAAATAATATGTACATACATGTATGTAGCAATCTTGCAATCGAAAGAAGTTCGAAAAAAGCGCACAGAAAAATCGTTTTACTCATTTAGCAAATATGATGTAAAATGAGTCTGATTTGCAGTCATGTTTGTTACTATTTAAAAATTTGCTATTTAAACAAAAATAGTTCATAAACAATGATATAGACTTTATGATTCAATAAGCGGTT